AAAAGTGAAGTTTTGTTGAAATCGGTTGAAAAATGTAGGAAATCTGATCCCATATATAAACGAACACACACAAACAACCTGTGTTTTATAATAAGTATAACTATATATTTTTTGCACTGTCAGAACCACTGCAAGGTAATTTTACGTAGTCCTGTGAAGTTTTGTTGAAATCGGTTGAAAAATGTAGGAAATCTGATCCAATATATAAACGAACAGAGACACACACACAACCTTGGTTTTATAATAAGTATGATGCTCAGAACGTAACTCATATTCTTAAATAGTCTTGTCAGATTTAGACACTCATGTGGATGTCATACATGCCATCAAACTCATTCAGAGACATCTGAACTATTACTATTAGTGAGATAATTTGTTTTTCATCAGATCAGTGATTAAAAATGTCTTCAAGAAAATGAACCCTGAAGATCTTAAAGAAAATTATCCTTCATCAGATTTCAAAGACTAGCAGAACAGCATCACAAATAAAAATTTTATCAAACAACGAAAACTGCATTACTTGAAAACTTTCAAAAAAAGAAAATTTATATTTTTATCCTCTTTTCAGAAAGAAGTAACTTAAATGGATAAGAACATGTTAACTAGAAGGAAAATAAAGAAAGAAAAAAAAGAAAGATCTTGTGATCAGAAAGAAAGAAAGAAAGAAAAGAAAGAAAGAAAAAAAAAAGAAAAGAAAGAAAAAAAGAAAGAAAAGAAAGAAAGAAAAAAGAAAAGAAAGAAAAAAAGAAAGAAAGAAAAGAAAGAAAAAAGAAAGAAAAGAAAGAAAAAAGAAAGAAAGAAAGAAAAAGAAAAGAAAAAAAAAAAAAAGAAAGAAAGAAAGAAAAAAGAAAAAGAAAGAAAAGAAAAGAAAGAAAAGAAAAGAAAGAAAAAAAAAAAAAGAAAGAAAAAAAGAAAAGAAAGAAAAAAAAAGAAAGAAAAGAAAGAAAAGAAAAAAGAAAGAAAAAAAGAAAAGAAAGAAAAAAGAAAGAAAGAAAAAAAGAAAGAAAGAAAAGAAAGAAAGAAAAGAAAGAAAGAAAGAAAAGAAAGAAAGAAAGAAAAGAAAGAAAGAAAAGAAAGAAAGAAAAGAAAGAAAGAAAAGAAAGAAAGGAAGGAAAGAAAGAAAAGAAAGAAAGAAAAGAAAGAAAGAAAAGAAAAGAAAGAAAAGAAAGAAAGAGAAAAGAAAAAAGAAAGAAAGAAAAGAAAAGAAAGAAAAAAAAAAAGAAAGAAAAAAAAAAGAAAAGAAAAAAAAAGAAAAAAAGAAAAGAAAAAAAGAAAAGAAAAGAAAAAAAAAACTCAAAAAAAGAAAAGAAAAGAAAAATAAAAAAAAAAAAAAGAAAGAAAGAAAAAGAAAAGAAAGAAAAGAAAAAGAAAAAAAAGAAAAAAGAAAAAAAAAAAAAGAAAAAAAAAAAGAAAAAAAAAAAAAAAGAAAAAAAAAAAAAAAAAAGAAAAAAAGAAAAGAAAAAGAAAAAGAAAGAAAAAAAAAAAAAAAAAAAAAAAAAAAAAGAAAAAAAAAAAAAAAAGAAAAGAAAAAAAAAAAAGAAAAGAAAAAGAAAAAAGAAAAAAAAGAAAAAAAAAGAAAAGAAAAAAAAAAAGAAAAAGAAAAAAAAAAGAAAAGAAAAGAAAAAGTCAACTGTCTTACTGGCAAGAAATTTAGACTTTCTTTTTCTGCCGCTCCCTCACAAAGAGAGCACGTGGAATTGAGGAACTTCAGGAATGAAGGCCACAGATAAGTCAACTTATCCAACTACCACTTTCTCATGTTAATACTAATAGACTTATCACTTCCAAATAATCTATTCATTCACCAACACAAACCAGAAACAATTTATTAACAAACACATTACAGGACCTTTCATACATCTACCAAACTTGATAAACCAAATCCTTCTGATTTATTTAAAAAAAAAATCAGTATCACCCCAAGCAATGCCACTAAAATAAGGGATTACAAGGTGTAGAAGAATTCAGAACAGAAACATTAATGATGAGCAGAAAGAGAAGAGAGTAATCAGGACAGTCAATAGTGATTGACACTACATTTAAATTTTGGTGGATTAAAGTTGGCTGGAAAGCATGAAGCCAAAAGAGCTCCACAAGCAAGAAGTGCAAGAGAAGAAACTGTTAGCATAGAATTTACAGTTACATACATCTAGCCAGCTTAGCTGTAAATTGAGATCCAGTCTAGTGCTGCACTTAAATTCGAGAAGAATAGGTACCATTGTGAAGACCTGATCCAAACGATTACCATGAAACCATTTATAGAAGACAAAAAGAAAAAAAAAAAAAGGAGGTGGGGGGGTTAATAGACTGAAGCCGAGCTGCAAGATCAGGACCAATAATATTGTTGATTCTTAGGATCTTAAGGCGCTCGAGGTAAATAGCAGGGGCACCAGACCATATGTAGTAGCAATATTCTAAGCATGGACAAATGGTAGACTTATAGATATGTAGGATAGATTCTGGTGAGAATAATGGTCCCACCCAACATAGTAAACACATTTTCTTAGTAGCTGACCAAGCAGTGGATTCAATATGGTCTTTACACTTATATTTATAAATGTCCCACTTTATGATAAATGTTTGTTATATTTTACTAACCAAAAACTGGAGTCATACAAGACCCATCATAACAATATAATTAAGATGTTAATCTTCCATAATACCTTAAAAAAAAAGGTTAGGAAGGAAACTCCCATTATTATCAAATAGACTTGATAACTGTTAGTAGCTTTGAGAAACCTATTTTCCTAAAGAACTATTTTAAGGAAAAGATTTTAAAATTTTCAGCCTGAAGTAATGACAACGGTTCAGTCAATGAATGTCGAGAGTTTTCCAGTACAAAAACGCGTCCTGGGTATGATGATAAACTATGTCCAACAGCAAGGCCTCTGATCAGGAGGTTTTGAGGAGCGTGGAACCACCTCTTAATTGCTGGTGTTCCTAGGTCCACCCTGACACGGGGTGGTAGCACCTGTTGGGGTCCCAACTATAGGCAAATAGTTGGCCCTGAAACTAAGGTAAAAAGCATTTTAAAGTGTAAAAATAGGTTTTAATACCAGAAATACTTTGTAAAAAATTACCAGCAATATAATCAGCAATATGTTTTTTTTAAAAAAAAAAAATTACCAGCTATACATTTTCTGACAAAACAAAATATTACCAGCTATACATTTTCTGACAAAACAAAATATTACCAAAAAAAAAAAAAAAAAAAAAAGTTGTCGGCATTAAATAACCCATTGAGGTTGATACGCTGTAAAACACAACAAACCAAACTAAACCAGTACAAAAACTGCTAATCTCATGATTATCAAGAACTTAGTGAGTCTAACAGATACCTGAAATAGGTCAAAAGGTATAATGATTGACACATTGTGAATATAACAATCAAGATGAGGATATTAATTGAAATGAAAAAGTACATATTAATGAAAATTCGTTATCTTAAAAATTTCAACATGAATTACAAGTTCCATTAGGAAAGTGGACATTTTGAATACCTGGAGATCCAATTGAGAAGCATTTATATAACATGACAATTAATCAGAAGGGACCTCATTACACTTACATGAATAGATCAACCCGCTTTTGTAGAGAGTGACACAGCAAATGACAGGCCAGTGATTAAGCTTGTACAATGTGTGAATGTTGCATTTTCAATGACCAAAGTAATTTTTATTCTTATTGGGTTTTCCATTCTTCTGACTGTAAAACTACACTAAATTTAGCAATTATTTTTTTTTTTTTTTTTACTAAATGTTTAGACAATACAAGTCCCAAGAGCCACTCAAGGTAGAAGGTTACTGAATGAAGTTCTAATATGAATGCAAAAGAAGGTATGAAGTACAGCTTATGAAGATATGTAGAATAGGTAACAGTTGACCATAAACTTAAAAAGGGTAAGATTATACTGATTGGGGAAGCATCCTCTTGGGAGTCTGTTCCATAATATAGTGGTCCTTGCGAAGAAACTGGCTGAATAGAACATACTTCTTACCAGTGAAATATGAAGAAAATCATGAGGATTCGACCCTGTGCATGTGACATGGTTGGGGGGTCCTAGCTGTAAAGGCCTGAACTAGTTTGTTTTGTTTTTCTGCATATCAACATATTAATGCCAACAAGATTTTTATTGCTGATATTTTTTATTTTTATTTATTTTTTTTTTTTTACAAAATATTTCTGATATTAAAACCTATTTCTACACTTTCATAGTGTTTTGAGTCCAGTTTGGGGGTTAACTATTTACCCATAGCTGGGACCCTATAACATGCTCTACCACCCTGGGTCAGGGTGGATCTGGGAACACCAGCAATTAAGAGGTGATTCAATGCTGCTCAAAACTTCCTGATCAGAGGCCTTGCTGTTGGATGTAGTTTATCATCATACCCAGGATGTGCCTGAACTTGTGGAACTAAGGAATGTAGATCAGCTGTAAATTTTCCAAGGAAATAATTTTTTTTTTGTTTTAATTTTCTGTGAAATAATGGATTGTGATTTCATCAGATTACTAGATTGATTTCCTCCCCCTCCCACACCATAAGTCTCATGCTTTGTTTATAATAGAATGCAATCATTGAAAGCCATTATCATTTGAAGGTCAGGAATTGGAACAGATATTTGTAAACTTTTCTGACTGACAAAGATTTTCTTTCTCACACACACACAACTTATTTTTCTTTCCTTACCTGCATGTATATGGGTAAGCGAATGAGGAAAAAAAAAAAAAAAAATTAGATTGATTTGTTTTTTATGGCTTATCAACCCACTGCAGGTTATTTAAAACCTGAAAATACTTTTAGCTTTTCAGAATTTTTTGTTCGAGATAATTGTTCAGTGATAAAATTCTTACTCATTAACGCATATCAGGGGAGAAGAGATTGACTCATACTTTCCAAGCGTATTTGTCTGTAAATAAATATAATGAACCCAATCAGAATTGGAACTCAGATCTCTAACAATTCTGAGACATTATCCATTATAACACTCATACATCCAAGCTTACAACACCTGGTATTCCCAAGCAGTCACCCACCAAGGTACTATCCAAGCTTAACATTGCTTAACTTTGGTGATCACACAAGAACAGGTGGTTTTATGTGATTTATACATGTCTTTAATCTTGTAATACTAAATTTTTCAATACCAGTGTTTGGAGTTTAAGCTCTGAGAAAGTATAAAAATTTGCTCAATTAAATTTGCCATTTCAGAATAATGTCAAAGAGGTAGTTACAGCAATGAAATATATTAAAAACAACTGCAAATGGTTTGATTTGGTTTATGGTATATCAACCTCAATGGGTCATTTAATGCCGACTACTTTTTTCCCTAGTAATATTTTTGTTTTGTCAAAAATCTGTTTCAGGTAATATTTTTTCCTCAAAAATATATAGCTGGTAATATAATTTTAAAAAATGTATTGTTAGTAGTAGTTTTTCTTCTTCAAAAATTTATTTCTGGTAATAATTTTTTTTACAAAGTATTATGAAAGTGTAAAACTAGGTTTTAATACCAAATACTTTTTACTTCAGTTTCAGGGCTATTTGCCCATAGCTGGGACCCTAACAGGTGCTACCACCCTGGGTCAGGGAGGACCTCGGAACACCAGCAATTAAGACATGGTTCCACGCTCCTCAAAGCCTCCTGATCAGAGGCCTTGCTGTTGGACGTAGTTTATAGTCTTACCCAGGACAGCAATTGCAAATGGCTGATCAAAACTGATCCAATTCACAGCATTTATCAATAACTGACTTAATACCAAAGTCATTATTTTTCATGGCAAATGTTCAGACAAACTCCATTTTCTTACCTGCATGTGAACATGTTAGAGATTGACTCCTGTTGAATTTGACACGATGACCCTCGTGTCAAATTCAACAGGATGGTCCTGCAGATCAGTTCCCAGGAAACCGACAACAGCATATAAGATTTGATTATAGTGGTGAAGGTTTCGTGCAGGACCATCCACACTTTTTGAAGGGCCAAATACAGAGACCTGGTGCACTATGTGCCACGAGGTCCCCACAGGTTTTGAATTCAGAGTTGTCCTTCTCCTAGACCAGTTGCCATCCAAGGCTATAGAACCCAGTCTGTCCTGCTATTTACCCATAGCTGAAGGGAAAACAGGATTCACACCTTTCCCAAGGGTATTAGCATGTAAGTGAATGTAATGGAATCCAAACTCAGCTCTCCGATTCCTCAATCAAAGCCGCTATCCATTACTCCTGTGTGTGTGTGTGTGTGTGTGTGTGTGTGTGTGTGTGTGTGTATATATATAAAGTTTGGAAGAGTTTTGAAGTGATGCTAACAAAGTTTTGAATGTTCTATATTTAAAAGTAACTATAAACAATTTTTTTTTTTTTTAAGATCCTTGCCATTTAAAAGGAGAAATTACCTAAATTTATGAATGCTCAAATTTAATGCTTTTCCCTTAAAAATCCTGCCAATTAAATAAAACATTATCAAAAAAGTTTCAAAAGTTTCCACTGCTACAGGAGCAAAAAACTAATAGTGAGAGAATATTTTTTTTTTATCTCTGTGTCCCATGCAACAGACTCCGGTTCAACCACAGACCTGATCAAATTACCGGTTGAAAATGTTTCTGCACAGGTCGCATCCTAAGTCAACGACTTCCCCATTTTGAATTGAAACAGTACTATACTGGCATTGAGATCGCATCAACTTAGAATTTATGGCTATATCTAGACAGCTCAATTGTATGCTAATAGCTTCCTCTCTCACTTGTAGAACTCTGGCTCCATGCTTTCCAGCCAACATTAATCTGCAAAAATTTAAATGCACTGTCAATCGCTATCTACTTTCCTCTTGATTACTCTTTCCGCTCATCAGTATTGCTTCTGTTCTTGATTTTTCCACACCCTGTAACCCCTCGTGTTTGAGTGGTATTACTGCCTTGCTTGGGGGTGATACCGATATATGACGCCTATCGAATTGAGTGTCAGGCAAATCACTTCCTAGGAACCGATAGCCCAACACCAGCACATGAGATTTGATTATAGTGGTGAAGGTTTTGTGCCAAACCTTGCACACTTTTTGAAGGACTGAAGACAGAGACCTGGTGCACTGTGTGCCACAAGATCCTCAAATGACCCTCCACTGTTTTTGAATTCAGAGTTGTCCTTTTCCTACACCAGTTACCATTCAAGGCTATAGTACCCAGTCTGTCCTGATATTTACCCATAGCTGGCAGGAGAAGAAGACAATTCATACCTTTCTCGAGCGTATTAGCATGTTAATGAATGTAACAGATTTGACTGGTATTTGAACTCAGCTCTCCAATTCCTCAATCCAAGCTGCTATCCATTACTCCACCATGCATTTTTTATATATATATATATATATATATATATATATATATATATATATATATATATATATATAATATAATATATATATATATATATATATATATAATGTAAAAAAACTTGATTCAAAAATAGTATGTCTAATACAGCAATCACTATCACTTGACTTAAAATATTTTTAACCTTCCTTGCCTTTTAGAGGAGTGCCCTTTCCATTTAATTTGGAGTTACATTCCTTTTTTCTTGCCTATATCACACTGCCAACTTTACTAAGCTCTTTAGTAAACATTAAATATGTTATGAAAAAGAATTAAACAAAATAAACACAATACGATCAGCTTTAAAAAAAAAACAGAAAAAATATTTTTAAGGGATGACCGATTGTGTTTTGCACTCTGTTTTTACTCTCTCAGAGTTGAAACTTCAAATGATGACTCCCCAATGGCCTTCTTCATAAATCCACTGGTTTTCACTAAAAACCAACATGCAATTCAGACGCAATCTGAATGTTCGATTTTTTGGGTTTTATCGATTTTTCCATGCTGTTTAGGGTCCGTGGTCATGAAACTTCTGGACAACACTCTAATGGTAGACTCTAAGAGGTTTGTCAAATTTGGTTGAAATGCGATCATTCCTTCTGTAAGCAGAATTTTTTTCGATTATCGATTTTTTCGAACCTGATTCCAAACTCAAAAAAAAAAATCCGTCATGTACTTTACGGCAGCTATTTGCAAACTTGTGTTGAAAACCGTTAGAAATCATGGAGAAATGCTGCCTGAGCGAGGTAACAATGCCCACGACAGACACACAACTTGAGAAATATATATATAGTAGATATATATATATATATATGACAGGGTCAAGAATAGTGCAATACTGAAGAAATTTAACAGCATCACAGGCATTGAAACCATTCTAGCAAAGATACAACTTAGGTGGGATGGTCATGTTGTGAGAATGAATGAGCATAGGCTTCTAAAGAAAGCACTGTATGAACTACCGAACTCCAAGCATTCAATTGGACATCCACTCTTATGCTACAAAACAAACTGAAAGACAACTGGTAACATCTCAAATTTGATCTGAAAACCTTGAAAGCACAAGTACCAAACAAGTGGTATAAGATATGTTTCATTAAGTTGAAGCGTTTTGAAGACAGTAGACTGAAGCACCATGATCGGCTTTGTCAAGCTCTGAAGCAGAGATGCCATCAAAATCCTGCTTTAACAAATTTCATCTGTCAGTGTGGCTTTGTCGTCCGCAGCAAGGCTGGGCTACTATTACACATAAGAAAACACACTTTCCTTTACCTGATTTTATCCACAATAGCCCCTGCTAGTATGCATAAGTGAAAAACAAAAGGCACCATCCAATGGTGACTCTTATGATTCAAAAATATATATATATATATATATATATATATATATATATAGGGATCAAAATGGTCATTTTCTGAATGAGGTAACTCTTGGATTTTTTTATCTATGTATTTTATATGCTCGGTTATAATAAATACATTGAGCTCTTCTTTTGTGGATCAGTCTTAATATGAAGTAGTCTTGGATTTTTGATCCAGATAGGGATCTTCGATGTAAAAAAAAAAAAAAAAAAAAAAAAAAAATGAAGACCACAGATTACACCCTGATGAAATGACCAACACTCACCGAGAAAATACTTCAAGAAATATTAATAAATAACTAATGCAAATATTTACCAGGCATACTTTTTATATCACCAATATTTGTAAATCTAATACTTAAATAGATCCGAAGGCGTATTGGTATGGCCAAGGATGCATTCCAAAAGCTGGGCAGAGTATTACGAGATAGAATACTTTTCTTTGTTACCAAAGAAATCTCCCTGAGCTGCTATGTGACATCTGTCCTCCTACATGGCAGTGAATGTTGGACAGTCTCCTCAAAGATGAAGAGACTTGAGGCAGCAGAGATGTGGTTCTACAGAAGGATGTTAAGGATATCATGGACTGAGTGTGTAAGCAATGATGAGGTTTTGGATAGGATTTAAACAAGGAGGAAGCTTATACTTAACATAAGGAAGAAGCAGATGAAATTTCTAGGACAAGTAATGAGAAAGGAAGGCCTGGAGAATCTGACACTCACAGGATGAATAGAAGGAAAAAGAGAGAAGGGATAGCAATGCATGACATACCTGGTGGGTTTAAGCAAGTGGATGAGAGAACATGGTCTGAGGGAGGTGGCAGAGGGATGAAACTTATTGAGAGCTACAAGGGATAGGGGGAAGTGGAGAGCCGTGATCGCCTATGTCCTGAAAGGACCTAGCACCATACACATTTTTCCAACATTAGACTTGTTGAGTATCCTTTATCCAAAAAACTCCAAAATCCAAAAGAATTTCAAAACAGATTCTAGTTCCATGTGCCATACCATTTTCTGGATATCTCAGAGGTATATTCAGATATTGATATTGAGATGAGGTATTATGATTACTTACATTATTCGGACTGTTATCCTCATCTTCCTTGTCATATTCACATTTCAGCCACTGTACGTTCTGGCCTTCTTCAGGTGATTGAAATTTCAAACTGAACCCTTTATTTTGTCCCCTGGGGTAGACTGTTCTAGTTCCACATGCCATGCCTCTTCCGGATATTTCCCTTTAACTCAAGTCCCAAAAATTCATACACAGATGTCCTCAAGGACACATGGCCCAGTGGATAAAGATATTGGTTAGATCCAGTGACTAGACCCAAAGAGTTGTGAGTGGTAAACCAAAATGGAGACATCCGGAAGA